TTTTTTTTTTTTTTGGTACCAGGGATCGAACTCAGGTCCTAGTGCTTGGGAGACAGGCAGTGGAACCACTGAGCTAAATCCCCGGCCCAAAAGACAATCCAATTTTTTAAATAGGCAAAAAATATAGATACTTCACCAAAACGTCCATGTCGGAGCCACACAGACCCGGGTTGAACCTGGCCTTCACTACTTCAGGCTGTGCGTCCTTGGGTAGTTTGCATGGGCTCACTTCTCAGCAGGATGGGGGAAACGTGTGACTGGGCAGGAAGAGGAAACCAGGTGTTCTCACCTGATTCGGGTCCTTAATAAATACCAGGACTCCCCTCTTCCCGCTCTATAACGGATGGGTTTGGGTTCTAATCCTAAAAGGCTGGGCCAGGTCAGAGGCAGCAGCTCCCAAAACCTGAGAGCAGATGTGGAGGCATGACTTGGTGGAGACAGAAATGTGTCCAAAACGGGGTGGGCAGCCGAGCATAGTGGCGCACACCTGTAATCCCAGCACTCAGGAGGCTGAGGCAGGAAGACTGCAGCGAGTTTGAGGCCAGCCTGGGCTACATGGGGAGTTCAAGGCCAATCTTAACTACATAGTTACCCGGTCTCAAAACACACGCACGCACGGGCTCACGCGCGCGCGCAGAGAAAGAAAACGACTGGCAGGGCAGCCTGCCGGTGGCCTGGGATGCTGAAGAACCAGGAAAGCAGACCTGTCCAGGGCGATTTCACAGCCTGGCGAGCAGGGCCACGGCTTGTACCCTATCACAGCGGTTCCCGCAGCAGGAGACCCTGCCAGCTGAGGGGCACGGCGGGATGGCCCTGGAGGGGCCTCCCCAGAGCACAGCCAATCTGCTCCCCGGTCCTGGAATCAGGTGAGGCTGGGGCCTCCTGGTGTGGGCGGGGACAGAGTGGAGGCTGCATGGCTCAGCCTCCCCGCTGCCTGGAGCCAGGGTTTGGAGCACCGCTGGCCACTCTGCACGGGAAGGGGCAGCTTGTCCACGGCCCTCTGCCCTCTGCCATGTCTTTCACCTTCCGCTGGTCTTCTCCACCCCGTGTCTCCCCGTGACCCCCCAGACTCCCAGGCCTCAGCCCTGCCTTCCTCTCTCGGCCCCACTCCTCCTCTGGAGTGACCTGGCCAAGGCAAGAAGCTGCATTTCAGAAGGCCAGGTGAGTGGGCCTGGTGACACACACCTATAATGCCAGCATGCTGGGAGGCTGAGGCAGGAGGGCTGCAAGTTCAAACACAGCCTGGGTAATTTACTGACTTAGCAAGAACTTGTCTCAAAATAAAAATTATTAAGGGCTGGAGATGCAGCTCCTTGCATTGTACTGGGTTCAGTCCTCAGCATCCGCCCTCCAAATGCACATAAAGTCAGCTGCAGCCTTGGCTTTGAGCCCTGCCTGGAAATTTACCGTGGCTTGGTGATAAACCCTGGAGTTAGAATGACCCTGATGATCCCTCAGCCCTCCCCTGGAAACACGTATACCACCCTTTCAGGCCACTCAGTGTCCTCTGGTGGGAGGAACAGCCTTGCAAGCCCTCACTCTGTGCTGAGAGCCCTCTTCTCTGGCTGAGAAGTGGCTGTCCCTCGATGCAGGAGCAAGACGCATCGCTTGCGTCCTCACGTGGTCATCAGCACGCCTGTCAGGCTGAGCAGCAGGAGGCGGTGCTGTAGGTGCTGGGTCACATGGCTGGAGGGGCTCCAGAAGCAATGTGGAAGCTGGGAAGTGGGGACCTGGTTTTAAGTAGAAGGCAAAGGACTTCACCTCTGTGGTCGTTCTCCCCAAATCCCAGGTCTAGATCTGAGAAGGGTATTAGACAAACCTAAATTGTAAGAATTTTCTACTATAGACAACAGTGGTACAACCACTGTAGAAATCAGTATGGAGATACCTCAAAAGACTAGGATTAGAGGCCCCATTTGACCCAGCTATCCCCCTGCTGGGTATCTTCCCCAAAGAATTAAAAGAATCATACCACAGTGATATATGTGCACCCGTGTTCACAGCAG